GCCCGCGACGGCTCACTTGGACTAACAGAAAGTTACCAAGGAAACTCGGTCGTTTCGATACGTTTCTTGTTCTACAGATCCATTTTCGGTTTCAGTAACCGCCATGGAAATATTGTAGCGCCCTCGCCGGGTGATGAAGCAGAGGCCCACCCGGCTAATGCATGTGCTGTAGTGCAGGCTGGGAACTGTAGCCGGGAGACGGTCTGAGGGTCCGCAGGGTGACCACTAGGTCATCCTGCCTATGTCAATGGTGACGATAAAATCTAATGTAAATAGCAGGTAATTGTTTACTCCTGTTTTATCCCTTGTCTTGTAAGCACCCTAATCATGCGGGTGTGTCCTTTTCACAGCCCTTGTGACTGTGTTAACCTGAGGAGCTGGTGTGTACGTCTCTGTTGCCTGAGTGCCTGTAATGAACAGTTCTTTCTGGACCCTATGCGGATGACACAATCCGAAGAAGTGGGGAAACACTGGGGAAACGTCATGCAGGAATACGGGGCTGAAGACAGGGGGGCGTGTCCAAGGTGCGCTGGTGCACGGGGGAGGTGTGGCCGAGGTGAACAATCCAAAAGAGTAGTCCTTACAGAGTATCCAAAACACAAGGGTAAGTCCAAAACCAGGAAATCCATCAAAACGCGGAATTAAAACACGAAGGCCGGGTCGGAACCGGCAGACAGGGAACGGGAACGGGAACGGGAACGGGAACCGAGATTAAAACCTTAACGGGACCAGGTGCTTCCAGGTCCCGGACTCGCACGGTACGGAAACCAGATGCAGAGCCCGGATGAGCGTCAGCGCCTGGCTTTTAAGGTGGGCTGGGAATAGGAAACAGGTGCACAGAATAAAGTCTCAAGTGAAAGGGCTGGAGCACCCTTAAGGAGGGGGGACTATAATCGTGACAGTGCCGGCTGATGGAGTCCTGTCAATAAAGAAAGTAGACCGACAGAAAGAAAGGTTTCTGGGGTTAGTCTCTGCGTCTGCTAGAATCATAACAATGTTTGGCCGTACGTACGCACGCGAACAGGTCTTTCTCATCAATGAAGATCAGCAAATCAGTTTTACGGTCAGGACTCACTGACGAACATTCACGAGCAGCATTGCGATTGGCTACTTCACGTGGTATGAGGGCTAATGTTGACGTTCTGGTCCCTGCAAAACGCTGCCGACGAAGCGCGGCCAGAATGAAGAACTTCAGAAATAACCTCGTGTGATGTCGAGTACAGTGAGCAAAGTCAACCAACATGTTTCAAATAAGAATTTCAGTTTCAATTCAATATTTGATGCGTTTTGTATGTCTATGAATGCGGCCCACCGATTAGCGCATTTTATCTAACGCAGGCCCCAAATTCATTTGAGTTTGGGACCCCTGGCTTAGGCCAACTAGGAGACTGCCC